AACAACTCCCAATTTAAATCAGAATCATTATTTTAAACACCACACCTCTCCCTAAGCAACATTCACATATTTCCCAACACTGTTTCTGGGCACATTAAAATATTAATGTTTATAAGCACATTAAGAAACTAGTTGTTTCCAGACCACGTTCGCAGATGTTTTTAAGTCACCTTGGAGTCTCTCCCTGACCTCTCTGGTTACTTTCCTCATTAATGGCACATCTTCCTCAGTGATACACAAAATGCATAACTATTATGGTAGGTTAATTGCATAGATCAATGCTGTTCATACTGTATATTTTGAATATTGTATATTTTGTAAAAACAGTGAATGGAAATAATCTAAATATAAATCCCAACAGCAGACCCCAGGCACTGATTCTAGGAGAACCATTCGTCACTCGTGCCCATATTAATATCTGACTTTTTAACATTATCCTCCGCCTTCTCTTCTCCAGGTAATTATGTATCCTCTTAAGTACCTTCCATATTATTATAATTACTATTACCATTATTGTTACTGTATTCATAAAGAAAGCTAAACCTGTCTTCTTTGTTACTCCTGCAAGCTCTTTCAGTTTGTATATCAACCACCTAATACTGTGTCAAATGTTTCTTTATAGACCCCAAGATGATGCAATTTACACATCCCTCTCACTGCTGCTTTATCTCCGTGTCTTCCATGAGATTCTATGAGATTCGTAAGACAATAATTACTATATTCAGAAAGGTCTAATCCGCATGGGTCATATATTGCTGAGGTGGCCTCAGTTATAAGGATAAGGATATGGTGAAGTTGCGTATTATCGAGCGTAGGTAGTTTTTTAAAAGTCAGACGAAATCTGCGTCAATGGGTTAGTTGTTTAAAAGTCAGACGAAATCTGCGTCAATGGGAGGGTTTCGGCGAGAAGGGCAGTCAAAATTAACATTGCTATCTCGGAACCCTTTCTGTGTGTTTATTTCTTTATTTCCAGGCGCTCTATAATTTTTTATTATCATTTTAGTGTCTTAGCCAATATGCTTGTTAGTGACACTTGGACATACGTCAAGAATTCCTATTTGTATATTAGAATCCCTTTCGTATTTTTTTTTTTTCAAATTTCCATCACTTGCCGTTTCCGTCGACTTTTACATCCTTGCTATACGATCGTGGAAGTTCTGCTTCAGCGGTGTTATATTTAACATCTATCCTCATATTTACTCTGAAATCAAGGCTTGGTACAAATTTTAAGGCAACTGACCTCTAACTCCTGGGTACACCGTTTAAATATAATCAAATGACGTGGTTGTTTTACTTTTGAATTAGGTAAATGTCAGCCTCCACTATAATCTCTCCCTGGTAGTTTTTCTTCTTTAATATCCTAATTTGTGCTACGTATTATCAAACTGTAGGTGGTACAGTTAGGTAGTGTTTGTCTCTTGATCAGCAGACGGAGGATCGAGCCTCCATCAGTCCTTTTTTTCACACAGGGTTTGACAAGGTTAGATTAAGGATCCCTAGCTTTATTAACAAGCTATTTACAGGTTAAGGATTCCTAACTTTATTGCCAAGCTAAGAGCTGTTACCTACATCAGCTCATTTGAAAGCATCTTTATTGTTATGAGACATACAAGTAGGGAACAGGATAAAGTGAATGATCCACACGAATTCAGCAATTCACAATTTAAACAAAATGAATGATCAAGGTATCACAAAAGAGTCATTTCAGGTAATGCTGGTGACTAGCGCAGCAAGCGGAAAGTTTTTGAGCCTGCAGGAGTGTAGGTCGCGAGCCACTCTGACCTTCTCTGGGTATTGACCACGCCTGGCCAGTTACCGCACACCCAGGCTTAACTTAAACTCTGAATAATAGCTTTGCAAAATAACAAGACTTCATAAAAGATTCATATTAACATCAGTTAACATAAACTTGTTACGGCAGCATGCACTGTAAAAATATATTTAAAATAACATTTTCAACCATTAAGGAATTTAAGCTAATTAAAAAAGGGTTGAGGGAGGGCAGGGAGGACGGAACAGACGTAATAAAAAAAGGCAAAGAAAATTATCTTGGGTGGTGGAGGGTGTTCCGGAGGACACCTGTCTCTAGGCCTACGATGATTTTTTTTATGGTACAAGGTGAAGGGGAGGAGTAGATTGTCTTCATGGTGGTGAAGATCTCTTGGTTCAAGGAATGGTAGCTACTCTTCCCTTCATTGGATCACACTTGACAATCTACCATGTCTCAGGAACTGCATGACCCCTGCGGGTTTAGCGCTTCCCCATGATTATAACATGGTACAGACGGCTGTATGTTCTTTTTAGGTTCAGTGTCTTTTTAAAGTCCACATTTCCTTTTTTGCTCCCTTGCACAAATTCAGTAGTACTAGGTTTTACCGAGCTGCTTAGTATTTAGCATCTCCAATATCAGCCCTAGGTCCTGTTGCTAAACAATAAATGATGCAAAAATCATCGTTAACCTGTAAATCTTGTTGCTCCTATGTGAAAACTTTCCAAGTATAACCATTATTTTTTTTTTTTTTTTTTTGCATCTGGGCTCCCAAGATGGCCCGTCAGTTCCTAACGCCCTAGCGTTATGAACTGCTAAAAATGAAGATAAACTAAACGTCAACGTAGCAAACCCACTAACAAAATGATCCACTGCACTATCACACCACGACCACAGAACAAAACTTGGGGTTATTATTTGTTTTTCTTTAGAGCTAATAGGACCTGTTCCTCACCCATATTCACCGAGGAAGAATGTGAGTACACCAACATCAATAAAACCTTTTCTTGAACTTCTCTATCCACAGCACTTCATCGCCTACTATAAGAAAAGGGCTGTGAAAATACTCCATAAAGCCAGACAGGAGTCCAACCCCATCAGATATATAAATCTACCTGTCAACAACACGCTTTTAAAATAACCGAACCAAATCCCCAGCCAAAGCCAACATCAGGACTGCCAACATAACCCCCCCCCCCAGCATCATAAAGGACTTGGTTAAAATGAAACCCATTTATTAACTGCCGAAACTTGCAAGATACCATGTGGAGTTTGTGATAAGTTTTAGGTAGGTGACCCCTTAAGGGAGGTTCTCTGACGCTGGTGAGGGGCTCTTGATCTAGGGAGTTGGATCTGTGCTCCAGTTCTCTGAACTGAGCCCGAATGCCTTCCATATTCCCTTCTACAGGCGCTGTATAACCCCTACGAGTTTAGCGCTCCCCAATGATTATAATTTACGTAGGTGAAACCTCCACGGACGTGAACACAAGGAGCAACGAACACGAAAGTGCCTGCCAGACTGATGACATGAACAATGCTTGAACTATTCACCGCAACAAGGAAAACCATCTGATGAATTTTCCAGATAGAAAAAAAATAGTTATCAAGGAAGCAGACATTATAATGCAGGCTGCGCTTGTAATCAGTGGTTCTGACTGCCACTCCTAATACCATCATATAAATATAGTCAGGTTCATTCTTAATTTCAGAAACACGCAAAACACTGATCCTCACCAGACATGACACTGCTATTACATAAAACGATATGGAGAAATGCAGTTGGCCTACTAGCCATAAGTGTATGTGCATGTACTTATAGGAATGTATATGCACATGTATATATATACGAAATAGTGTAACAATAGCACGATTAAGGAAGAGGGAGGAGTGTCCCAATGTAAGTGTGAATATAGAGAACACGAGGTTGCATTTAGCGGTGGGAAAGTGGTGTGGAGTCTGGTGGGGCGCATATTTATGCGTTGAACTCTCTAGACAAATAAAAAAAAAACACTGGTCCCGTAGGGAGCATAAAATGCTTGGGGAATGGAACACAATCGGGTTCGATCCAAGGAAGGAAGAAGAGGTCCAATTCCTAGGATCACGAACCCCTCAAAAGCATCAAGGTACCTCTCCCTTGAAGTCTTTACATAAGTTAGCTCACTTACATAAAATGAGTTCTCCGTAAAACAATGTTAGTCATGGAAAAAGACTATTAGCGCGCAGTTCTCGATATTTATTAAAGGAAACGTTTCGCCACGAGTGGCTAGACGTTTTCCATAATAAATGTCCCGATCTGTACCAGCATCCGTCCTAAGACTCGCGTCAGTAAACATTTGTCCTATTTCCTGACAAACAATATACCTACCTTGCCTCTATCCACAACCTGTCGGTGTTATCATACCATTTACAATATTTCGCATGCTGACATGATCTTATGTACACAGGGTCAACACAACTTGAACCTCTGCAATATTGCTTTTACATACCAATTCTACCTCTGTAATCTGTAAATACCTTTGTAAATTGTCATGATTGTGACCAGACCTACCTGGAGTTCATTACCTTTGTAAATTGTGACTTCATTACCTTTGTAAATTGTGAGTTCATTACCTTTGTAACTTGCTCAGCTATCAAAACTTTGAGGCCCAGTCCCTGGACCCATTATGTACCTCTGTAATCTTGACTACCGCCCATAGGATGGGTATGGGGTGCATAATAAAGATAATAAACTAACATACCAATTCATACTACATATACAGCTAATGGTGTTGACTGTGATAACCTTATCGCCTTCAGATAAGTTATATAAATTTATGCGATGGTTATAAAAGTTAATTAATGCTGCAGGCAAACATTAGTGATAAATTATGTAGCTTTAGGCTGGAGACCAGGTATGGTAATACTGACAGCATGTAGAGACATGTATGCATAGTTTAGACATTTAATGGGAAACGTTTCGCCACGAGGGGCTTCAGTGAAGGGCTTTAGAAGCCACTCGTCACAAAACCTTTTCTTAATAAATATCCTTCACTGTGCATATGCGTCTTTACCTTTAAGCAGATCTACCCTAGGATAACCTAATACAGTGCCATTTAGTTGTAATGAAAGTTTGTTTTTTTCTGATACGGTAAATCTGTTACTCACACGTGGAAAGAAACAAGACCGTAAATCAGTGATCAGCCTGATCATTTACAGGTAGGACAAAGAGCAACACCAACACGTGGACACTCACGGAACACGACGGCAGACACACCTACTCCCTCCACCATCCAAAGAGGCACTGAACCTGGTGTAGCTGTAGGTCGGCCCCAGTGAGTTATGCCTCATTCACAACACACGCTGATCACTTGATCCCTAATTTTATTCATTCTGCCTCACACTTTATATATATACGAATATGTTAACCTTGAACTCATACAAAGCACATAATCCGGAGCACCTGCAATAATAAGAAATTTATAAAGTATGACCTGAGAGAATAAAAAAAATCACAGGCAAGAAGGAGGTTACCTGACCAAACGGTTCGCTCAGGTGAGACAGTTGCCAGAGACCACATACTACTGTATCGTAGTAACACCGGAATTCTTAATGAAGAGACAACACGCAGATTAGATTTGTTGTATATATTAGATGTTAAGATTTAAGGGATATCACCGGCCTTGACAACGTTGTAATTTATTTTAGTTTTAGCATTCAATAATACTAAGAATTCTATAAGTAAATTTATACAGATTATAAAGAACATATTATACACATATTTCACAATCTGAACAGAGTTGAAACAACAGAGTATTTCAAAACCCCTCCTTATCCACAGCGGTATATTTAAGTATGTGGCGCAAGCATGATGGCTGGTTGGTTAATGAAATTTAAAGCCCATTGACTGCACGAGTCATTAAGAAATCTAAGAGAATGTATAAAAATGGTTATAACTATGACCATAATTTTTAAAGGGGTGAACCGGTAAGCCAGCGGAAGGCCTCGGTCAAATGACCGAAAGCTCCAACGGCGGGTCATCATCTGACTAAGACTCGCATCAAGAAACACTTGTCCTGTTTCCTGACGAACCTTACCTAACCTAACCTAAGAGAATGTATTTTAACTTTCTCACCGTCAGACAAGTATGGATTAAATTCTCTGCACATATACACCGAGAGAAATACACCTTTAGGCGCATATAGCCTGTGCAAGTGATGATCCTCAACCATTAATACACAGTTTAAAGTTGTTTTATTCGTCAGGAAAGAGGACAGGTGCCTCCTGACACTGGTCTTAATCATAAATGACCTGTATTTCACATTTCAGAGACGAAGCCAAGAGCTATATACTATATATATAATATATATATATATATATATATATATATATATATATATATATATATTTATATATATATATATATATATATTATATATATCAGTTTTATTCTTCCTCCAAAAGCCATGCATGTCGTTAGAGGCGACTAAAATGCCATGAGCAAGGGGCTAGTAGCCCCTTCTCCTGTATATATTACTCAATTTAAAAGGAAAAACTTTCATTTTTCGTTTTGGGCCACCCCGCCTCGGTGGGATACGGCCGGTTTGTTGAAAGATTTCACTCTTTTAAATAACATGTATTCATTGTTGAACAGTTGCTTTTTTATTAAATATCTTTGTAGCCTCAGACATTCAGCTGCGTCACTAATATACTGTATATGAAGTTCATGTCGGAAATTAGACTCATAATATTTAAAACGTTTTCGTTCATATTTTTTCACACTTTTCCTACTCAATTAATTTTTATGATTGGTGCAAGCTGCGTGATCTTGGTTTATTCTCGCATGCATATGACACATTCCAGAACGTTTATTTTCTTTCCAATATGATATTCACAGCAAAAAGTTAAACCAGTAGGGGTCATACGTCTGGAGAATGCGAGGTAATTAGGTTTGATGCAAGGGAAGAGAGCTCAGTTTTTTTTTTTTTAATCAAGAGCTCTCCACCAACATTAAGGCAGTTTCAATGAAGGGAATTTATTTCCAGTTTACCTCTTACTGCCATGTAAGAGGTAAACTAGCAGTAACCTTGTGGAAAAACTAATACCATTTTCTGCGATCCCATTTTAATTATTTTACTATTAAATCTCAATTTAAAGTTAGACATGTCACTTAGCTTTATCCCGTGGCTCGATCGCTAGCTCACTCAGTTCACACAGCGAGGTCCGGGGGTCGATCCCCGGCACAGCTGGAAAACATTTGGACGTGTTTTCTTAAGACATCTGCTGTCCAGTGTTCGCCCATCAGTAAAATAGGCACTTGGGTACCTAGGTGTTAGTCGACCGGTGTGGGTCGCATCCTGGGACAAATTTGACCTAATTTGCCCGAAATGCTATGCATAACAGGATTCTTTCTATGTAGTAGTATGTCATTGATGTCAGCTAGGACTGTATAACTTGTACATTTTTTTAACAAACTGGCCGAATCCCACCAAAGCAGGGTTACCCAAAAAGAAAAACAAGTCTTTCTTTTTACGTTTAGTAATTTATAAAGAAGCGGTATTATAGTCGCCTCTTACAACACGCATGGCTTACAGAGGAAGAATTCTTTTCCACTTCTCCATGGACATAAGAGGCAATAAAAAACAAGAACTATTAAGAAAATAAAGAAAACCCAGTGTGTGTAAATATGTATGCATGTACATGCATGTATAGTGTGACCTAAGTGTAAGTAGAAGTAGCAAGATATACCTGTTTTCCTATGTTTATGAGACAGAAAAAAGACACCAGCAATCCTACTGTGGAAAATTTTGAATTTTCCCAAATTCACCACATGTAAATTTGAATAATATGATAACTGTGTATTAAAATGATGTTGATTTGATCCTTCGAGAAATTTTGGGTGAAGGAGGGTGTGCAGCGGCCATGGAGGGATACAGGAGAGGAGGACGCCATTTATAATTTGCGAGCACTGGTTGTTGTGGAAAATTCAGCTAATAATCCAGTGTCATCGAGGCCAAATTGGGGTGCTTCAGCCTGAATTTGTAATAGGAACCCATATTAATGTCGCCTGTTGAAGAATTGGGACAGGAAATTTGCAGGACCTCCAGAATTATGTGTGGATGATGCAAGAAGACAATATCACTCACACAGGGAAGTGTACCATTAGTCCTTCCATTTAGATTTCTCGCTGGCCAGTGTAGGATTCTATTTGTTAGGCAGGCGTTGTGGTGTGAGCCATCTACAGTAATTAAATGGTAAGCAGTAATACAAATTTCTTTTCTAATAATACCATTATAATTTATGTACAATAATTATATTCTGTGTACCCAACAAGCCAAATCATATACAGTCCACATTATTTTATAATTTACCATTTTTATATTAATGTTTAATATTATAATTATTAATTTAATGTCAGGTCTAGCTTTTTGTGAGGAAGTGATAGTTCTGGGACCTACTGTGACTAAGTCCCACTTACCTTGCCCAGATTACTTGCACATAATTCAGGCAATACCCTGTAAACTTCATGCAGGTAATTTCTCACATAATAATTCATACTTCACATAAAACAGTTGCAGGTTTTCGTTTCACACTCACTAGGCAGGACGGTAGCACCTCCATGGGTGATCTACCAGCCTACTACCTAGACCTTGTACATGTAGTTAGTTTAATATCTTTATTATGCACTCCATACCCATCCTGTGGGCGGCAGTCAAAAGATTGCAGAGGTACATAATGGGTCCAGGGATTGGACTCCAAAGTTATGATAGCTGAACAAGTTACAAGGTAATGAACTCCAGGTAGATCTGGCCACAATCACGACAAGTTACAAAGATAATGACTCATCTACACTTCTATACATGGTTACAATCATGAACAAATTACAAAGTAATGAGCCACTGACACGTCCACACCCGGTCATGTATAAATAAGGATTATTGTTATTATTATGTTTTTCAACAAACCTGCCGTATCCTACAGAGGCAGAGTGACCTAAAAAGAAAAAAAAGAGTTTTTCTTTTTAGGTCAAAAAAAAAAAAAGAAATATTTTCTTTTTAAATTTAGTAATTTATACAGGAGACGGGGTTACTAGCCCCTTGCTCCCAACATTTTAGTCGCCTCTTACAACATGCATGGCTTACAGAGGAAGAATTCTGTCCTACTTCCCCAGAAAAATTAGAGGAAATAAAGAAGAACAAGAACTATTAAGAAAAATGAAGAAAATCCATATGGATATGTATATATGCATGTACTCACCTAGTTGTACTCACCTAGTTGAGGTTGCAGGGGTCGAGTCGAAGCTCCTGGCCCCGCCTCTTCACTGGTCGCTACTAGGTCACTCTCCCTGAACCGTGAGCTTTATCATACCTCTGCTTAAAGCTATGTATGGATCCTGCCTCCACTACATCGCTTCCCAAACTATTCCACTTCCTGAATACTCTGTGGCTGAAGAAATACTTCCTAACATCCCTGTGATTCATCTGTGTCTTCAACTTCCAACTGTTTCCTCTTGTTGCTGTGTCCCATCTCTGGAACATCCTGTCTTTGTCCACCTTGTCAATTCCTCTCAGTATTTTGTATGTCGTTATCATTTCCCCCCCATCTCTCCTGTCCTCCAGTGTCGTCAGGTTGATTTCCTTTAACCTCTCCTCGTAGGACATACCTCTTAGTTCTGGGACTAGTCTTGTTGCAAACCTTTGCACTTTCTCTAGTTTCTTTACGTGCTTGGCTAGGTGTGGGCTCCAAACTGGTGCCGCATACTCCAATATGGGCCTAACGTACACAGAGTACAGGGCCCTGAATGATTCCTTATTAAGATGTCGGAATGCTATTCTGAGGTTTGCTAGGCGCCCATATGCTGCAGCAGTTATTTGGTTGATGTGCGCTTCAGGAGATGTGCCTGGTGTTATACTCGCCCCAAGATCTTTTTCTTTGAGCGAGGTTTGTAGTCTCTGGCCCCCTAGACTGTACTCCGTCTGCGATCCTCTTTGCCCTTCCCCAATCTCCATGACTTTGCACTTGGTGGGGTTGAACTCCAGGAGCCAATTGCTGGACCAGGTCTGCAGCCTGTCCATATCCCTTTGTAGTTCTGCCTGGTCTTCGATCGAATGAATTCTTCTCATCAGCTTCACGTCATCTGCGAACAGGGACACTTCGGAGTCTATTCCTTCCGTCATATCGTTCACAAATACCAGAAATAGCACTGGTCCTAGGACTGGCCCTCTGTGAAACCCCGCTGGTCACAGGTGCCCACTCTGACACCTCGCCACGTACCATGACTCGCTGCTGTCTAACTGACAAGTTTAGTG